AGATCCTAAACCCTAAACCCTAAACCCTAAACCCTAAACCCTCAACCCTAAACCCTGAACCCTACATCGGCTACATAAGCCTAGACATGTTGCTCTCGCTACACGTCCTGGAGGTTCTGCCGGTGGCCGCCCCAGGAGTGAAAGTGGCCCGCGAAGACCTCTTGAGGGTTCAGGGTTTAGGGTTTGGGGTTTAGGGTTTAGGGTTTAGGGTTTAGGGGTAGTGCCCTCAGCTGCCAAGCCCTAAACCTCAAACCCTGAAAGGAGGTGGGGAGATGGTGGGGAGATGGTGGGGAGAGGCGGGGAGAGGTGGGTTTTGGTTTAGGGCTTAGGGCTTAGGCTTCGGAATTCATGATCATTCTGGCTCTGTTGAGTCGTGGACCCTCCGACCCCTTTGACCGAACTCACTCTCCCGATACTGCGCCGGTTAGGGTCCCATCGGCGGCAGCGCATGAAGCGAAATCTTCTTGTCCGCGGAGCTATGGCATGAACCGTCTAGGACCGAAGCGGTTTAGGGTTTAGGGTTTAGGGTTTAGGGTTTAGGGTTTAGGGTTTAGGGTTTGGGGAAACCCACACAGGTCTGATAATTTGGCTTCTTTTTAAAATTCTGACGTCGCCCTCCTGTCGGCCCAGCCTCAAATACAACGAATCGCCACCAGTCACTAGAATCTGCACAGACACTAAACAGGGGGTTGAACAGTTTAGGGTTTAGGGCTTAGGGTGCATAATCGTGACCCTTAAGCAGACAACCCAGCCAACAAATCTACACCCCAACCCCCTCAAGCCAAGACACTGCAGTCGAACCTCGAATCCCAAAAACGACGAACAAAAGGCAGGCACTAGACTCCCTAAACCCTGAACCCTAAACCCCAAAGCCCAACTAAACCCTCAACCCCTTGTTGCCCTAAACCACGCCAAGACACGGCAATTGTTCGGGATCCACGGACAACATCGGAGAAGTAGTCGTAGCGTTGCACCTCAGGCGTATTCTGGTTGGTCTGGGGGCGTGGTTTAGGCCCAGGAGTAACCTAGGAATGAAAAGGGTACCCTTTTTGGTGTTGAGAGGATTATAAGGGAACCGCAACCCTAAAAAAAAGAAATAAGGGCCTACGTCGGGTCCTAGTAGTAAGCTGCTGTTCGCTTTGGGCTTCTATGGCGGCATGTAAGGGCAACAAGGGTCGTTATGTCACCTTTAGAGCCGTTTGAGGCCTTGCAAGGGTTACGGGCTGAGAGTAAAAGTAGGAAAAGGGTGATACCCGTTACAGAACTGATGAATACAAAAAGCTTGTACCGTTGTTCAGGGGTATGTACTCGGCAACGGGATCTATCCTGGAAATAACAAGGTACCCTGTTTGTGTAAATTGGGTTTGCTCTTCAACCCTAAGCCCGAAACATTACGAAGTGGGCATAGGTACTAGACCCAGGAGTAACCTAGGAACAAAAAGGGCGCCCTTTTTGGTTTTAAGCGGATTAGCAGGAACCCCAACCCTAAAAGGAAATAAGGGCTCACTCCGGGTGCTAGCCCTAAACTGGGTGTTGCTGTAAAGCACTTTGAAAATTATTTATGAACTGGTTCCCTTGAAAGGAAAAGAAGGGAAATTTAAAAAAACACCAAAGCCCTAAACCCAAAACCCCAAACCCAAAATCCTAAACCCTACAGCCTAAACGGATATAAGGGCGCGAGTCACCTGCGGGTCATCCGGGCGGGGCGAGAAATGGCCACCCATATCGTGGATAAGAAGGACCTGAGCCAGCTCATAGCGCATGAAGGCTAGGGTTTCGGGTTTCGGGTTTAGGGTTTAGGGTGTAGGGTCAGGGTTTAGGATTGAAGGCAAGGTTGCCCAGAAACCTAGGACTAGCAAAGGGTGCCCGTTCTTTGCTTAAAGGGGCTGACAAGGGCACCTAAACCTCCCAAAAAGGGAATAAGGGTACGACTGGGCATCTTAGCTGGGGTTTAGGGATCAGGCTGGGGAGGCTTTGGGGGCATTCAGTTGGCATGTTCCCCCCGAACACTAACAGTCCTTAATAAAGATCATAGTACCCTCTAAACCCTAAACCCTAAACCCTAAGCCCTAAACCCTAAACCCTAAACCCTAAACCCTAAACAGGCGAGCGATGGGAAAAAAAACACCGAAGCATCTCCTAAAGCAATTAGCCCTCAACTCATGACTCGGGCCGTGCCCGCCCACATGAGGGTTTAGGGTTTAGGGTTTAGGGTTTAGGGTTTGGGATTCTCAAAAACCAAGAATTGCCACAGCCCGCTCCCACACCCCCCTGAAGTCTGAACCCATCTTCCTGGGCCTACATCACCGGAAGTTGTACTATAGGGGGCTGAATAGTTAGAACAGGGTTTGGGGGCGGGGGGGGGGGGGGGTATTGCAGTATAATTATGAAGGGACCCTAAGGGAATACAATTAGTAATTATTCCGACCCCTATAGTACCTGTGGTGTTCTGCTACTGGTCTGACATTGCTGTGTGCGGGTAGCTCTCTCACTGAAGGCCCTAAACCCTAAACCCTAAACCCTAAACCCTAAACCCTAAACCCTAGCCCTAAACCCTAAACACTAAACCCTGAACAAAAAAGGGACCCTAATTTAGAGAACCACCCATGTTGCGGATTCTGCTCCCAGTGCACCCACCTGGGGGACCAGATGAACCCTAAAAGGGTCTAGGCGTCATATACCAATTCATACGAGTTATAGTTATAAAAGTAGGGTTTAGGGTTTAGGGTTTAGGGCTTAGGGTTTAGGGACCCCAAACTTAGGGATCAGCTGGTCCCCCAGGAAGTGCCCATGAGGCAGGGTTGCGCTACCTGGTGATGAACCCGACCTCCTTTGTGATGCGCCGCTGGAACGTGCCGCTTCCAGCTGGCCGGGCCCCTTCACGCCAAGAGCTTGGGATTTAGGGTTTATATAACGCCCAAAACCTTACAAACCCTAAACCCGAAACTTTGCAGAAGACCCCTAAAACACCAGACCCATCAATCCGTGAGGACGCGGCCAAGTAGTCCTGTGTCCGCTCGGCCTCAGCAATCTCATCAACCAGGAACCTGAGTGCTGTGGCGGGCTTGGGGCCTGTGGGGCTCAGGCACCAAATGAACCCTAAAAATGGGGGGGGGGTCATATTCCTTTACTACATAATTCCATGAATGGTATCTGAACTATAAACCCTTTAAGGGTTCATTTCGTCCCCAAGCGTGCAGGCCTTTCCTTCAAGTGACTAAAGAAGAGTAGCAGTCGCACGCGGAACAAGAAGAGCATCATTGGTAATGCTAATGTCTTATGCTTCTATATAATATGTATGTATGTATGTATGTATGTATGTATGTATGTATGTATGTATGTATGTATATATGTATAGCCCTAAGGGCCCATGTACCTTGTTACTATATACTTGGGCCCCAAAGTCCTTCTATAGGAGGCACTTGAGGGGCCGAGTATACCCCTATTTGGGTACATGGACCCTAAGGGCATGCCTTAACCCTTAATCTTATTTCCCTCTATAACCCTTATAAAATGCCTTATATAGTCCCCGTACTGAAGTAGCCCCTTCATGACCTCTAACGTCCCATATAAGGGTCCCTCCTCTCGACAAATAGCTACCACGCTCACCACTGCGACCACAGTACCACTACTACCACGTCCACCATCACCGTTTCCACTACCACCTGCACTTCCATTATGGTTGTCGCGGCCATGATTCGAAGATTTGTTGCCGCTTCTAACTCCAAACCCTATAGACCCAACCCTAAACCCTAAACCCTAAACCCTAAACCCTAAACCCTAAACCCTCCTACCTTCTAAACACTAAACACTGAACCTTCAAGCCTCTGCGGTCGAAGTTGTCGCCTTGGGCTTTAAAAGCTTTTCCGTTGGCCGTAAGCAGGCTTCGGCTCGAGGCCGATAGGCTTACCAGCCCAGACCCCTGGTAGGGTCCAAAACGTGGAATCACCAAATAGTACCCCGTACTACTCTCGGGTCAATTTTAGGAACCCCTTGATAGTATCATCCGGGAGGACTGAAGTTGTAGAATGGTTAAACCCTAAACCCTAAACCCGAAACCCTAAACCCTCAACCCCAAACCCCAAACCCTAAACCCTAAACCCTAAACCCTATACTTCTCTTCTTGCCCTGTCTGGGGAGGAAGGGTATTAGGGGTTCCCTTCCCAAAAACGGCTTCAGATACTCTTTGGGCACTAAAAGGATGGCGCAGATAGGGTTCTTAAGGGAGGGGGGAGTTCAAGGGGGGGTATATGACCCAAGGTTCCCGAATACTCCCCTCCCCTCCTTTATGGGGTTCTTAAGAGTTGAGGGTTTAGGGTTCTAGGGTTTAGGGTTTAGGGGTTTCAAGGGGGGTATATGACCCAAGGTTCCCTAATACTCCCTACTTCTCCCTAAGGCTCCCTATCCTTCCCGAAGGTTCTTTAAGGTTCCCTAACCAACCCTTTCATACAACCCTAAACTCCCAGCCCTAAACCCATTAAAGGGCATAACCCTCAACCCTAAACCCTAAACCCATCATAGCCTAGGAAAGGGCCCAAATCGCGTCTGGGCTCTAAACCGGGTCCTTTGGGCTCCAAGTATACAAGAGAAAACCTTGTCTGGGGTTTAAGGCCAAATAATGTCTACTTTGCGCTATTATATTGCTTGGTAACCCAGTAACCATGTCATGAAGGAGTACCCTTTTTGGGGTTGGTTGCTCTATACGGGAACCTGGAACCGAAAAAATGCAACAGGGTACCACCGGGCTACCAAGATAGGGATTTTTCTGCCTTAACATCCGGAGCCTGCATGTGCGTCCCGTAGCTACAAGCCCAGCACGTGCTCCCACAAAAGGCAAAAGGCTGAGAAAGTTTGGACCAAGGCCAATTCCCCCCGCAGCAGGACCACAGCGCTGCATGTGTGCTGAGGGCTCGGGGTTTCTTGATTCCAGACCATCCCTAAACCCTATCAACCTATCAACCTCTCAACCTCTCAACCTCTCAACCCTCAACCCTCAACCC